AACTCCAAATAAGCAGTCGATAGGTTGCTTGGGCTTGGAGGTGTATCGGTAATTAGTGGCGGAGATGAGCTGTGAAATTCAATCCGCTGACGGGCTTGATGTCGCGTGAAACGTTGAAGGCACCATGGACGCTTGCCGCTCGCCCTTTGCAACTCGGGTCGCTCTCACTCGAGTCATTAAGCTCCAAGTTGCAGTGCAGTGCGCTGACGGTCTTCCATCTCAGCTTTGGCGAATGAGACTCGAGGCTTCTGCAAAGATAATTACTCGAATCTCCGACTGTGGCGGATGAGACCGCGGCCAGAGCTTCTTTTCTAATTATACCTTGTCTACCTTTCTCAACTGAGTAGCTCAGCAAATTGGCTCGCTTCTCCCACCTTGCGCTCAAATTGCCTTGTTAGGGGAATGTCAAGCAAAATAATTGCGGAGGAAATCACAGGTGCCGCTTTGACAAACAGCCCTATTTATAGAACACTTCCAAAACAACACGTGTAATAAAATGCCGTACGCATTTCAATGTCATTCTCTTTGTCTCGTGTTGGAATGAGTTGATGTACTAAAACAACGGGGCAAAAATGCTCAAAAAAAAGAAAAAACAATCAGGCCTTCCAAAAAAAAACAAACAAAAAAAAACCAAAATCATCGGAAAAAAATTCGGAGTTTCAAAGCCAAGGAGTGAAAATGAATTTTAAGACGATGTTTAAAAAATGGACAGCGATGACGTTTGGCTAATATGCAGAGGGAGGTCATTGCAAAGCGCAGGCCGAGCAGCAGAAAAAGCTCGACACCCTCCCGCTGATCTTCTGCGAAGATTTCAGGACCTCCAGAAGTAGCTGGTCAGCTCACCTGGGCAGCAGCAAGGGGGAGGAGCAACTCCGAGAAGTATAAGGAGGGGCGAGAACATTTCAAGATTTAAACACGAAGAAAATGCAAGCACTGACACCCAGTGAAGGGAGGACAGATTCGGAGTTATGTGCTCCAGTTCAGACGGCAACATTTTGAGCCAACTGGAGACGTTTGGGGTAGGCCGGGCCGGGTCCAAAATGAAGGATGACTTTTTCAAAATACTCTTGTGCCAAGAAGGGGGCTTTAACTTTGCCATCCTAACGACTGCATAGATCCAGTGGGACGTCTGAAGTCCGACACGATCGGTTTCATGATGCCGGTTGATTTTCCAAGTTCAACATCAAAATGTCCTTCAAGGTGTTCAAACTGTCGGCATCTTAAAACCTCAAAAAATTTTACAGACAACATCCGTTTCACCTCAACTCATCATCCTTTCCCCATGAGAGCCCTCGGGAATAAGGTGGACGGAATGGAAGCGAAAAAGTGATGCTAACGCCATCATCAAATGCTAATCGCCTTAACGCAACACACAGCTGGCTCCCATTGGGATTCAAATGCAGCGTTTGTTACCAAACACAGCTTGCGAAAGGCGGTGCCAGGCTATTGTCATGCATTCCTGCCTTACTTCTTGCCCCGGCCGCCTTTCTCATCCTTCGTCGGTGGGTCTTGCATGCCGAATGGCTTGCAAGTCACGGAGCAGTTTTAACCGATCTTCTAAATATAGTCTGCTGCTTAGTGTCTGTACAGGCTTAGGGTTGATGTTTGGGCAGGTTTCAGCGGCAGATGTCACAGTCTGGTATTCAAGCGAGGGGATTTATTTGGAATCCCGTTGTGTTTGACACCGCCGAGGTCGACGGCTTTTGACATGACATGAATCAAATGGGATTCATTTGATTGCGATCTGCCGTATAATCTGACTGAATATGATGGAAGCTGAGAGGGAGGCGAGAGACTGAGATGAGAAGGATTATGACGGTTTAGATTAATTGGGGCGGAGGGGGGGTGCTGGGATTGGCAGAAATATGATATCGTGCTTTCCAAAAATCGATGACGTGAGTTCAATCGAATGGCAATCGTATGAAGGTCTTTGGCGAAAAAGCGTGTGTGAAACTGGAGGACTGACAAATGAATGGCAAGAATAGCGCCAATCAGTACCGATATTAGGATGATAACTCCAGCTGTTGTCTTTTAGGTAATGTGTGGGAAGCCATCTGTGCGGGGCTCTAATCTGCGCGGACTCTTCTGTGTTTACACTTCACCCTCATTAGAAGGCTTTGTATGGAGATGGCTCGATCAACCTTTCTCCGGAGCCTGTCCTCAATCCCGGCCCGCAGTCGTGTCCAAACGGTGCCTAAAAATCCTGTCTGTGGATAATTAAAACGAGGCGACAAGGGGATTAATTTAAAATCCCTTCTTTTAAACCTGCGATTGTGTCTCCAGGACGACTGCTGCGCCTGGATGGAGGGGGGGAATGGGGGTTCTAATGCCGCCCTGCCGTTCGTTTGCTCACTTCAATCAGCGCTGTTGTCTGAGAACAATGACATTACGGATTAGCGGGCGCGTCCCCGGCGCTCCGCTGGATGCTTGGTCTTCGGCCATGGGCAGAGCGCTCGGCCCCACGCGAACCTGGCAGGCTCGGGCGCCCGCCCTCTGTCTACGCGCAGCATGTCCGACACGCTGCAAATCGACCTTTAGACATGACAGAATGCGTCCTGGACTTGTGGTTTGTCCTCAGCCCGCCCCGCGATAAAATGCCAGCCGATTGTTCGCGTCTTTGGAACAAAAGTACAGATTGTTCTTTTGAACGCTCCCTTCCAGGAATCAAACTGAAATGAAGATGAAACCATAGCGTTTGTGTTTCTGTCATCTGGTAGCGGCCCCCCGTGTCAATTTTGGCAATCAAGAGTGTGAGCGGTGTGTCTTTTAAGTGCAAGCTCACATGAAAGATGGTTTCTGACCTCTGGAATTCAAGCCTGCCCTGAGCATGCCCCGTCTTGTCATCAGCCTCAACACCTCGTCTTATTGCTGCCGTTAACCTCTCCTTCCAAACGCTGTCGTTCGGGCACGTGCACCCCCCCCGCGACCTGCAGGGGCGAACGATTTACTCGCGTTTGCTCTTGACTCTCGGAGAGAATTATCATCCTCTCAAAGCAGTCGAAGCGCGCAAAGGCGAACCTCCCCCCCCAGGCTATCGCCGGTTTCCTTGTCTGCTCCCGACGATCCTGTCGAGGCCTTCAGCGATTGTTCTACGAGGAAATGAAAACCCGAATGATTTTTTTCAATGTGGTGCAAAAGGATCACGGTGTCGGTTTTTGTGTAAAGTAGCGCATTGTTGTGTTGTACTTCAACTCCAGGTTTCGGTCTCAGCGGAAGGACGAGTCCATGCTAAATTCAGTCATTCTATGATGATAGTTTTGAGTTCGAAAAACAATGCGGTGGGACCTCTACTTACGAACGTCTCTTCATTTGAAATGTTCAAGTTACGAGACGCCTCGACAGGAAAATGTGGCCTCTTGTTACGAAAGAAATTTCAAGATAGGAAAGGTTAAAAATACAGTAATGGGCTTCAACTCGCAGCTCCGAGTTTCCTGAACGCAACATACGTATTAGGGCAATGACATGGAAAACGCGTCTCGACTTAGAAAATTTTCTAGTTGAGAAATTTCTTCCAGAAACCAATTAATTTCGTAAGTAGAGGTACCACTGTACAGAAGAATTTAAGTATTAATTAGTGTTGCAAAAATGATCGAGTTATGACAGCCTGTCAATCACTTATCATTATTTTTTTTCCCCCCACCGTGAAGGATTTCTTTTTTTATTTCCCCCATTTGACTTGAAACAGATTTGATTTATTCACCATTATTTCCAGAGAACCACGGCCCCCGCGGTTCCATTTAATTTTATGACATGATTTTGTCGCTGTTTTCTGCTGTCACTTCCTCCCATCCACTGATGTGGTGATTTCAACTGCCCGCAAGAAATTCCAAGCTGTTCTTCGTGGCAATCCAGAAGCATACTTTTTTTTCTTTTTTTCCCTTTTTTTCCCTCCCCCCCTTAACATGTCTTCTCTCTCTGTGCTAAAGTGAAAGCCAATTTATCCACACATCTGCCAGTTCTGTCTTACATCTTCAGTAAGTCGGGTTCCTTTCAGGGGATGACACATTGAAGTTCAAAATCAACCAAGGGGAAAAAAAATCACTGGCATTCGCTTTTTCGATGTAATAATCTCTCTGGATTCTGGTCCACCTCAGCGGCCCGGAAACGTGCATGCAGAGGGCTGTCATTTTCTTTTGGGCTCCACATCTGCCTTCTCTATTCACGGCGCCGGTGCGGGTCCTATGCCATCTTTCTTGCCTTCCGCTCTCGTACTTCTCTCCGCTTCAGTCATGGACATCAGAGCGTTGCTGCCTCCCCCCCCCTGCTGCTTCGAACCGAGAACCCCCGCCACCTCCCCCACACCGGTGCCTGCATACAAGTCAGGCTATAAATTGTGGAAACGTGCTGGTGTTAAAAGCTTGTTAAAGTGAGCGCCTTGTCTCTCAGGAGAAAACCCCGAGCCCTTTCCTGCATCGAAATGGGGCATTTAGTCAGGAATCCCATAAAGCACATTCCTCGTAAAGTGGGACCGTTTGGTTATTTTTTCCCCCTCTCCTTGGCCTCATTAAAAAGCTAATACATGTTCAAGGTGCCCCACATTACTTAGCGGAGGCGGTGTCAATGTGTCACATCATATTTGATGACTCTTATTAACTATCCGGGCACGCAGTATGGAGTCGTCTCGCGAATCTGGTCTGAACATGTCTGCATTAGTTTTGCGGATAGCCGGCTTTCTGAGTTCATACATTTTTTTTTTTCCATGAAGCGCCCCCCACCCCCCTCCTCTCTGCAATATGTTGCTTACATTTCTCTCCTCCAATTTGGAGCCCAGACAAGCCGGCCTTCCCGCTAACCAAACATTCACGTCTCTATTTCGGTGTCTCGGTCCGTAAGCAGTCAATGAAGATTTTTTATTTTGATATGTTGACAAGCCGTGCATGTAGCCCACTCAGTCTGAGCGGCAGGAAAAGCCTCAAGCGAGGCGCGCTTTCTACTTCACAGTCATCTGACCTGTGCCATATTTTTTTTTTTTTTTTTTTGTGTGTGTGTGTCTGTTTCAGCTGCCTTTCTGGGAGACATCGCTCTGGATGAGGAGGACCTGCGATCATTTAAAGTGGATAGAATCATAGATTTGGCCTCCAGAACTGTTCGGAGCGTTAATCGCACAAGCACAGGTAAAAAAATACAAAAAAAAACAATGCAAAATCAAGATGGGATTTCAAAACATCTGCTCTGCCATAACATGGTCCACCGTTGCTCTTGGTCGATTAAAAATAGCAGCACTGCATCACTCTCGCAGGTGATTTGTTCAAAATTCTCTCTCGACAAGAAAAGTACAGGCGAACGTCTGCCAAACATCTGGCGAACACTTGCAACATTGAACGCACTCGGACGAACTCTTGACGTGAGCGCAACTTTCGCTGCCTTTTGAAAAAATACTCGCGATTGTTCGCCCGCTCGGTGGGATCGGCGCTGAAATGGAAAACTGGTGTTTGGACAACAGCCGGGAGATTCAAATTGGTGTAAACTACAGTCGTACATGTTCCAGCAAGCACATTCGTGTTGTGGCTGCCATGTGAATGGGTTTTTTTTTGGGGGGGGGTAATATATGAGTGAAAAAAAGTGCTGATGTAGCTTTCGAACACCTTTAAAACAGCGGGATGAGATGATTGTTTTCAGAAATAAATAGGGCTTGTTATTCTTCATCAGGCATTTTTTAAGCAAATCGTCAGTGTATCTTGAAAAGCTTAAAATCCAAATCGATGCTTGTCTGTCATTTCATAAAGAGAAGAGAGTCAGCGCATCACATCGTTCAAACAAGCCCGAATGCATTTTGGATCCAGAACCGATGTCGTGTCACAATTCCTCGTTCAGAAAGGAGGAGACAACAGACAAAAAAAAAAAAAAAAAACAAACAAAAAAAAAACCAATAGCTTTCGGCTTCAATAATTCCGAGCAGAACGCAGCAAGCTGTGATAGTTTTGTGATCGTAGGGAGTGCACTTTTTTTTTTCCATTCGCTCAACAGCATTTTTGTGGTCAACGAATTTGTCCAGCTTCTCTTTCAATCTCCAATTTTTATTTTTTTAATTTTCAGCATCAACCAATCAGAATAGCCAAACCCGACAAGGCTCTCGCCGCAGGAAACGGGCCGCCACGTCCAGACCTGAGCGCGTTTGGCCCGAAGGTGTTATTCCGTATGTCATCAGCGGTAATTTCAGTGGTAAGTTCAAACTTCTTGTGAAAATAATCGCACATGCTGTGAATGCGCTCCAGATGTTTGTGTATCTGGAGATGTCATTTCATTTCAACCTGATGAAAGGGAAAACGGGTACGTGCGAGAAACAACTTTTAAGTTCGAAATGTACCGCGGAAAGGGAGAAAAAAAAAATCCTGCGTGAGACGGTATGTTTCGAATCCGGTTTCGACCACCGGCGCTGACCAAGCCGCCGAAGGTGAAATGACTCCGCACGCCGGCTTTCTCTTCGTCCATGTGTGGGCGTCTCACGCTCTGTCTCGTCCCATCCAGGCAGTCAGCGGGCTATATTCCGCCAAGCCATGCGGCACTGGGAGAAACACACCTGCGTGACCTTTATTGAGAGGACGCAGGAGGAGAGCTACATTGTCTTCACCTACCGACCATGTGGGTGAGTCAGTGGGGTTCGTCGCTCCGATAAAGGCTCCCGCTCAGCCTTCTTCAGCTCCCGGCTAATGATTTCACGCCCGTGTGCGTTTCCTCGCTCTCTGCTCGCCAGCCTTTTCACCATTGTTCCACTCTTCCCGGTCTCTGTGTGAGCTGTTATTTCAGACTCGTACCGGCCCTCGGAGAGAGAGAAAGGGAGGCCTTTCAGAACACTTCCCGTATCTCTTCATCACAGTGCATCGGTCACCGAGCGCTTGTGTCATGCATGTTGCACACCACCGCACCCAGCGGGGGAGACTTCCGCAGCCTCCGCTCGCTCCTGTTGACACTGTTTTAATGACCTTCAAAGTGTCCGCTCGGCGTTTCCCTTTAAAAAGGACGGGAAGTTTGTCGTTGCCAAGAAACCGTACACAAGCTCCTTGGATGGGGCCTTTTCATTTTAGGACGACAGTAGTACCGTGATTTATAAATTTACAGGTTACGAGCTGTCGGTTGTGCATTTTTTTTTGTTGCAGTGTATGGATATATCCATCCATTTTCTAATCTGCTTATCCTCACACGGGTTGCGTGTGCCTTCGGGCAGTAGGCGGGCGACACCCTGAACCGGTTGCCAGCCAATCGCAGGGCACGCAGAGACCAACAACCGTTCGCACTCACAATCACATTTAGGGACAATTTCGAGTGTTCCATTGACTTGCCACGCATGTTTTTGGAATGTGGGAGGAAACCGGAGTACCCGGAGAAAACCCACGCAAGCACGAGGAGAACATGAAAACTCCACACAGGGAGGCCGGAGCCGGAATCGAACCCTGCACGTCTGCACTGTGAGGTTGACATGCTCACCAGTCAACCACCATTCCACCTATATAACATATGTATATTTTTTTTCAAACACAGGAATACAAAATGCAAACACTTGCAAGGACTCTTGATGATGCCACTGACTGGGCCCCGCCCCTTAAAGGCACACCAACACACCACACTCAACACGCAAATTCAGTCTGACGGTGCGTTCCTTAATTACAATGGCCAAGGTTGTTTCTTCACATTCGCTTGCATTTTTTTTTTTTTTTTTGTATCCAATACAGCGCTGTTTTTAACAACACAACACTTTTGGACTGTCAAACCCTCTGACCTGACGAACTGCCTGTCATTTCGGACGTAGCGCTAAACGGAAAGGGGACATCGTTTATCAGACAGAATTTTTTTTTTCCAGTCAGCAGTCGCGAGCCATTTTTAGCTCGGTAAGCGGCCCCGATGTGCAACAGGGATGGCATTATCCACGCTGGCGGCAGCGGTTAGCAGCGGGAATGCCCGAGTCTGACGCATATTGAGCAGGCCCCCCTCTGTCCTTTGCAAAGTTCAAGGCGTGGCTCATAAGAGCCTGGCTGGCCTTGTGGTAATTAGAGAGCGCCGTCTGGCTCGAACGGGCCGCGATGCGTGCGCCCGTCCTCCCCTTTCCCGAACCTTTTAATCTCACGCGGAGAGGGAGCGCTAGACCCTCCGCATCTGCGGCGACATACCGATAAATGATTGAATGTCACCGCTCTATACATATGAATTATCCTCCTAAATAGAGGAAAGGTTATTGAGGTCGATGACATCACTCAATTCTCATTTTTCCGTCGCTTTCACTTCGGTGTTGTTTCATTTCCAAAGCCGTCAAGTTCTTACTGTATATATTCTTATCCCGTTGACGCCGCCTCTGTGTGTCTGTCTCAATGATTGGCAGGTGCTGCTCCTACGTGGGCCGCCGCGGAGGAGGCCCGCAGGCCATTTCCATTGGGAAGAACTGCGACAAGTTTGGCATCGTGGTGCACGAGCTGGGACACGTGATCGGGTTCTGGCACGAACACACGCGGCCCGATCGAGACGAACACGTCAGCATTATCAGAGACAACATTCAGCCAGGTACATTTTCGAACATTGGCAAGAACAGCAAGAGCTAAGTGCTGTTTCATGTTCCTTGCGCAATATTGCTCTGGCAGTGTATAAAAAGTCTGATCGTTATCTACCCAATATGACTTTTGTCTCTTTTTTTTTTCGATGTGTGCCTTATGTTGTGGCCAGTTCAACCCAGATTATTTATTTATTTATTTTTGCCCATTCACAGGACAGGAGTACAACTTTTTGAAAATGGAGCCCGGGGAGGTGGATTCCTTAGGAGAAGTCTACGATTTCGACAGTATCATGCACTATGCCCGGAATACGTTCTCCAGGTACGAGCCAAACCAAGTTGCGCTCCGTTCCACCTCGCATGAAAACTCGTCTTTGGTCAAGTCATGCTGTGCCCTCAGCAACCCTTTTAAGCTCTCATCTGGTTTTCCGTGGGTGCACCTCGTGTTTTATAGCTGTATACAGAATATCTGCAAATGCATCCGTGTCCTCTCCATTGGACGTGGCAGCATCTCTGAGACTGAAAGCAGCCACACGCGAAAAAAAAAAAAAAGATCCACTTTGAAGATATCGAGTTTTCTAAATTCCAACTTGCGTGTCGACTTTCTCTTGTCAGTGCTTGCGGATTAGCATTGAGAGCGTCTATGAAAACATTTTAGAAAAGTAGGTGTATTTTTTTTTTTTTTTTTTAATGAAAAGTCTCTTCTTCTCGGGGGTTTTATTTTCTTGTCATCCTCCAGCATAGCGCTGAACCAGTGTGATTTGTGCGATATTTGGACAGCTGCTCCCTTTCACAGATTCCAACGCTAGTAATATATTGTCTTGATTAAAAGAAGAAATCCTATCTTTTTTTTTTTCTTCTTCACTTTGTACCAAAAACAGAAAAGCTGACTAGAATGCAAGGGATGTTCACAAACATTTTACACCACGTACCACATCAGAAATACTAAACCACAGGTGTCAAAGTCAAGGCCTGGGGGCCAGATCCGGCCCCCTACGTCATTTTATGTGGCCCGCGGCGCAAGTCATGTGTGTCAACTATCATAATTGTTGTTGAAATCTGTACCGAAATGTCAAATTGTCATGGGTAATAAATAACGTTGAGATTTTGCACCGGCCCTCCGAGGGAAGCCGTAAGTCCGAAGTGGCCCGCGACAAAAAATGAGTTTGACACCCCTGTACTAAGCTCTCCAAGGATCACCATCACGACAAACAGTGTGGTCTCTAAGGGTGGAGATATGGCATGAAATTGTTTCCACCGTTTCGGTTTTCCTTTTGTTGTTGTTGTTGTTTTTAATGTCATGAGTCGCCCCTCCAATTGTGATGTGCTGGAAATCTAACTAGCTCTGCCTACACCCCGAAAATCGATCTTTGTTTTGGTTGATTCCATCGGTGTGACCGCTTTAGAGTGCCTCATTGTTGGTTGGGAGTGTGTGCATGACACATAGAAAGATGGAAAAGCAAGGTGGGGGGCAGGAGGGGACTTTTATTTTATTTATTTTTTTATCTGACTTGATAGCCAGTGTATGGAATGGAGAGAGGCTTTGTGCTGCCATGGCCACATAGAGTGCCTCGTTGTCTCAGTGTGGGGAAAGCCCCACTGCAACCCGGTGGGCCGCATTCCATCCACTTTGCTTAACTCGCTGACGTCGAATCGCTTCTGGTTTGTTACTTAAGTGTTCCTTTATTTGGAGGACTGACTGTCGAGCCAAAGTCGCCATGTAGGAAGAAGATGAGTCAATTCTGGCTTTTTAGTCATCGGTTGTACTCAGAAAAGCAGCTCACCACAAAGGGGCATTTTGAAACGTGTCATTGGATGGTAAGTGTTGCAAACGAGTCTCATCTGTGCTGTTAACCTTCGGATGTGACTTCGGTGTGAGCTGTCTCCTCCAACAGCTGAACTTTAATCGGGTAGAATCGCTTTAAATGGTGGCAGGTGTGTGTTTACTTCCCCTCTCGAAAATATGAAATTGTTTTTTCCTATTCGGTTTGACAGATTAGAGGTCATGCAACGGGAGATAGAAGTTTTTTAAATAAATGTCCCCTGCATATTTAAACCACATGATGACCCTTGCCCCTCTTGTATAGATAAAAAGAGGAAGCGGGGCTGCAGCTGCAGTCGACAATCATTCGAGATGATGCGGGCTTCTACCTAAATCAGAAAAAAAAAAAAAAGGTTTTGACGTGGAGCAGCCAGAGTGGGTGTAATGTGATATCTGGTCACACGCAACTCAAAATAACAAAATGAGTGAGCCTGGCCTATGATCATCACGACCCCAGTCAGATATGAGAACCAGCTGTGAGCTGCTCTTTTGTTCTCCAAGAGCCACAATGTCTCTCCAGTGCCTTGTGTTCGAGTCTCCCGGTGTACGCGCCTGCTCTCAAATCAGCTGCTCTGCTCTCTCTGCAAGCAGACGGATTCCAGGAAGCCGAGAGAGAATCTTTGTCTAAACACACTCTGCGGCTGGGCGCAAGCCAATGCGCCGAGCTACCCGCCCGGCCGTGGCTATAGGTCAGGAATGCGCTCCGCTTAGTGTAGAGGTGAAATTTGCTTTGGGTGCGTTTTGTTTTTATGGTCTAGACTTATCGGAAAATAGTATGGCATCGAAGAGCATTCGCTACGTACAGGTTTGTCATCCCTTATGCACCGGAAACCTTTTCATTTTTGAATCGCACTCTTTGTGGTTACAGTGACCTAGACAGTAAAAAAACTGTTGGCTTTTGACCTGCCTGCCGCGTGAACGCCGAGGTGTCCCGTCTGAGTGTCAGATGTGGCCCTCACTCCTCTGCAGATTCTACAGAAAGCACGCCAGCCAAACGACCTCGCCGGCAGGCCACAGACCGACGTGCGAAGCCATGGAGCAGGCCCACTCTTTTGGACCCCGTCTGTGTCGCAGAGCGCCGAATAAATGAAACCGCTCGACCTCAGCCAAGCTCAAAGCAATCCAAATTTCATCGACGCGAGCCGCATTCTGTTTCGTCCCGACTGACCGTCCGAGGCTGCACGGAATGCAGTTACGTATGTAACGGTCGTTTTATCGTAGTCGGTGATATTCAGCAGAGATGAATTCGACGTGGTTCTATTTCATCCCTGCTGACCTTGCCAGGTGCGTTGCTGAAAAGCACTGAATGTTCCTTTCGCGCATGCGCAGTTCAAGCATGCAGAACAAATTAGTCACCGATGACGCTTGACGGGTGTCAACGGAGGCTCGGTTCCTAAGGAACCTTCTCATGTGAGCACGAAGATTCCCAGAAACAGGAGGCCCCATTCGGGATTCATCGAACTGTAGATACTGACGGGAATTTTACAGCACTGATGACGCATCATAAAATTGATCATGGCATTTTCGGGCCTGACCAATTAAATTTATTTGGGCCATTTTTTTTTCAGATTATTTGTATTTATTTATTTATTTGCACTTTAACAAATTACAACAAAAGACAAAGACCTATAAAGAAAAAGACCGATATTTTTGTGAATTTAATCGGACAGTTAACGGGGTTGTCAGAATTTTATGTTTCGTTTTCAGAGTGTCTAAAGCAGGCGCGTCAAACCCATTTTTGTAGCGGGCCACATTTTAGTTCCCGTTTCACTTGGAGGGCCATTCTGACTGAAACCAGAGTACTGTAATGAGAGGTTTGGTCTCAGAAAAAAGCTGAAAATATCTCACTGATTTGTTACATATGAGAATTTGAAATTTTGGTACAACTTATAGTGAGCATCATGGAAATTGATTTGCTTTCGCGGGCCACATAAAATGATGTGGCGGGCCAGATCTGGGCCCCGAGCCTTGAATTTGACACCATGGTCTAACGGTTTGAAAAAAAAAAAAAATGCAGAATCTTAACATTAATTTGAGCGCGCACATGCAGCCAATGGAGGAAAGGCCAGAATAGGAGCAGCGTCCTTCACCAACTGGAGACTTTTTCGGGAGGATTGGATGACTCCAAATTTAAGTTGGCTGTGCTAATCAAGTGTAAGAATAAGGAAATCAGGACTTTCATATCACATCAAATTGGAGCCACATTTTCCACCGCGGGCTTTTCCTTGGCCTTCAAAAACTTTGGGAATATTTTTTTTGTCGCACGTCACTAATGTAAAACCAAGGCAGGATGAAAACACGAGCTCCTTAGTGGAAGCGGCGGTTGGCAGAGGGTAACAAAACATCCAGCGAGCCTTGGGCTGCGGCACCCCCGAAAGAAAAGCCTCTGCAGCTGATGAGTCGGGAAGACCTTTGGCAGCAGAATACTTGATCCAACTTTGTCGGCCTGCAATCTTTTCGCTCCCACTGGGTCAAGATGTGGATTTAACCTCGCGATCCCCAAAGTTCGCCGGCTACTTTGGACACAACTATGTTAGGCTGATAATCTCCCTTGGTCCGGTTTCACTTGGGCGCAGATTCTGTCCCAATTGGCGGATTTGCGTTGATCAGTCAAGACGTGAGAGGAATGACTGCCGCTGCTCAGGAATGCTTCGCGCAATTCTGTTTGCTTTCCACGAGTCACTCCGAGCGCGTTTTCCCCGAGCGCCGATTGGCTCATCCACCTGTGCCCAGTGTCTTTTGTTGTCGATCCCCGAGCAGGCCGTTTTTTTTTTACAGTAAATCACCGTGGGAAGCCGAGGCTTTTACTCTGGGCTATTGTTTGCGAGATTTCATGCTTCCTCTTAATGTTTTGCTGTCTTCTTGGGACAAGTGAGCCTCAACGCCATCGGTTTTGTCTGTGTTGCGTTAGCCCCCAAGATGAGGGTTCTTTACTCCAAATTGTTTTTTTGGATCAGCTCGTGGAGCGCCGCCAACTCAAATAGAGACCTGCCAGTGTGCCCTTTGTCTCCTCTGACATTGGCTCGAGTGGAGTTTTTTTTTTTTTTTTTCCTCTTCCCTCAGAGAACCAGCATACGGGCTTGCGGAGGCTCAAAGAGAGACAAGCAAGCGGGAAGAGTCTAAACTGTTAGCTCAGGCGGCAGTGTTTGCACATGGCTGGCATTGATCGGCACGTCGCCATGGGAACGATCAGGGAACCGGGCCGCCGCTCGCCAATACTCAGAGGAGAAAAAAAAAATGGAGATGAGAAACGAGCAAAGTGTCAAATGAGACAGCAGTGTGAAAAGAGTCTTTTAAGACGTACTTCTTTTCTCTTGGCCTTTTGTCCAACCAAATATGCTGCACCTGACCTTTTTGGTTACGACGTCTTTCATTTTAGACTGATATGACTTTGTACGTACTCCTATGAAGAGGGCGGCCTCAATGCCAGAACTGTGTACGGTTTATATGCCGAACGGTCCCCGCTGCAATTAAAATGCTTTATATGAGGAACATCCCATCGCATTTTTCTTTTCGACCCAACTCTCGGTGTGAGTAATTAATGCTGATAGAGGTGCGGCCGTGCGTGTTGATTCAGGTCAATGATAAGTTGCGATGTATAAGCCAGGAATGTGATTACTGGCTTCTTTTTGTCACGAACAAATGAGTAAGGTGAGAGAAATGTTGTGCCACGTTTGGCAACAGTTTCTTGTCGTGCTTTGTGATTTGACTGTTTTCTGTGGTGTGTCTATGGTGAAATTAATTGGTGGATGACTTGAATCATTTAGCAAAGTCGATGGCACCTTGAGATAAGAGCGACCGGACTTTTTACCTTGACTTGCGATTAACTATCGGAAATGCGAGCACGGTCGGCTTTGAAGTCGGCTCACGGCGAGCGGCACGTTTGCAGATAGTAAACGATTTTTTCAAAAAGAGACTTTAAGATGTCTAAAGTTTACTCACCAAACAACATTGCTTTAAAGTCCTCTCGTTTCTGGCGAACACACGATGGGAAAGAGCATCGACGGGCTATCGAATAGCATCGGCGTGGTGACGTTCAAAGGCTTTAAATGGATATTTGAACACCAAAAGTGCAGCAACACACGTAGACAGAAGATAGAACAAATCTCACTGTCGCAACCGTGTCTTCTTTATCCTCTACATTAAATAATGAAAAAACGTACCATCTTACTGAGTCAATCTTGCCTGCATGATTGTATTGTACTTCCTCCTGATATTTGACAGAATCAAATCCAGATAACCTATTAATCAGACGATAAATTCACCAAATATATAATGAACGAAATGACTTTGTTTTTTGTTCCCTTAATGCTTACAACAATAAAGATGAGGACTACTTGCAGAACGTTTTACAATACCAGTACTTTGTCCTGTAGAATTTGTTTTACGATTCAATCGCCTCATTTTGGGGTTTTTTTTTTCAGGTGGGGCTGTTTGAATGATATTTGTCTTATGTATGTAATATGTTTTTTTTTTAATTGGCCATTTTTGGGCGGAAGTGGTAGTGTTGGCCAATTGAATCCTCTAGTTGTTTTTTTTTCTGGGGGGGGGGCTGGAACGTATTAATGTCTTAAGGCACCACTGTAATGCATAAAAATCAATTCTGTGAAAAGACAATATTTGCATAAAAAGCAAAAACAGCACGAGGAGAGAAGCTCAAGCGGATTCAAATAATGAAAGTAATGTACAAAACAATCCATTATTGTTCATATTTACATCGCTTTAAAGGCACGGATAAATAGTGCGCGTCGGGGTCAACGGGTTCGCACAACAATTCGGGCGTAGTTAAGCGGTTTTAGGTTGAAACTGGATTAAAATCCAGCGTTTCTGAGCAGGCTTTGTGCATATTATATACTGTGCGCATTGTTTCCAGTCATTCGTAAACCACACCGGAGGCGACGTCTTCCCCCCTCGTCCGGTGTTCACATGCACAAAATCCTCCGGAACGGGCTCTCAAGGGTCATGTGGCACTAACGTCCATCCGTCTCCCTCTCTATGCATCGCAGGGGCATCTTCCTGGACACCATCCTGCCGCGCTATGATGTGAACGGTGTGCGACCACCCATTGGCCAGAGAACCAGACTTAGCAAAGGGGATATCGCACAGGCACGCAAACTCTACAAATGCTCCAGTAAGACCAAAACGGCAGATCCTGTCTGCTGTGGGCTTTCTTTTTTTCTTTTTTCTTTTCTCTCCCCTCCCTTGTCTATTTTTGCACTTGCGTGAGAGATCTGCAGTTGTCCTGCTTTCCCTCGATGTATCTCCTACTGGATGGGAATAGCCTCTCCTCGACTTATTGATGTGGCGCGACTGCCTGGCTGCAGCGTCCCAGACTCCCAAGCGGAGAGGGAGCGAGCGCAAGCACCGGCCAGCGACGAGAAGTCGTCCCAGATACCCGCCGGTCATGAGAGGACAAATGGCTAACAAAGTGAAGCGCGACACGGCGAGGGAGGGTTACGTAAGCTGGCCGCTTTGGCGAAGCACTTTGTTGACACTGCGTTTGGTGTAAACAGAACGGATGGCGTTTAACGTCAGTACACGAGGAACAGACGCCGGCCGTGTCGATTTGATGTCACGCAGTTAATTACAGGTCAGGTCAGGATAGCGGCGCTGTCAAACACGGCGATGGCTCGCAAAGTCGAACCAGCTGCTGGGGCTTTACGTCGGAGGCCCGAGACGGCGGTTTTGAACCTTAAACGGAGCCATACCGTATATACACAGATTACCGTATGCGCATCTGTGTTTGCTCAACGTCATCTCCCTCAAGGACGGTGTTGGGGGAGGAAAGCCCCTTATGATGTGGCGGCAGCGATGTTCTTCCAGGAAAACCGACAGAAACCTTCCTCAGCCGCGGATCTCCCATTCGTGTATCGCGTTCCTGGAAATGTTTAATCATCGCTTACGCCGGCCCCCGAAGTGGTGTTTAAGCCTCTCGGATTGTTGTCCGCGACTCATCATTAAGGGGTTCCTTGTTTCGCCGCCGGCACGCACTTGAGCAAAGTCACTCGCGTCAAAAGTTGGGGAGGTTGTTTCATTTCTCCAAAGTGAGTTAAAATAACAAGAGGGGGCAACGGAGCGTAGATACAAATCTACGCTCAGTAACTTCACTGAATGAAATACATCTCGAACCTCCCCTTTTTTTGCCCCCTGGCGCCGGCATTAACGTCAAGTCTTTGCATATTTAATTTTGCCAGTTAAGCAGAAGCATCACGTACATAATGTATCACATCCTCTCGAGAGCTGAGTTATTTATAGAGGGCCGGTTTTATTTTCAGACCGGGCTTCAAGAGAGTGTGTCTCATATCGATTCATTTCTAAGCTCGTCATCTGGACCAAGGTTATTTTCGTGAGCGAAAACTCACGAAAATAACTAGGACGAAAATGAAATATTTTCATTTTATTTCCGTATTGCTGTGTCCGTACAGAAGGAGGGTCAAACCGTTGTTTGAGAACTGTATTTTACTCTATTATGCAATACTTTGCGACCTTTTAAAATCTTTTTATAAAGCGTGCGCCCAACAAACACAATGTATTAAAAAAAAAACCAAAAAAAAAAACATACATCTAGTATGAATTAAACTGAAACAAATTATTAAAAAAAAAAAACCCAGCTCATAAAAACTTGAACTCGCTCTCGAAATGAATTCAAGCTAACTCAATTTAAAGGACAAAAGTCAAAACCAAATGGAAAGTAACTCCACTGAAAAATCCCAAACTCTGACACCTCTGATCCGGACTGAGCGCCTCACCACATGTTTCACATGAAAGAGCTGCCTTTCCCTTTCTCCTTCTCAAACGCTCTCAGGGCCAGAAGGTCGGGGGAGGCAGAGCCTCACTCCAGATTGCGCAATCCCACACGAACCTGGTTGACGGGGCTCGGAATTGGGAAGTGCCCGTTTCTGTCGCGCTGACATTTTGAATATGTGCATGCTGCTTTTTTTCCAAAGTCAGGCTGACATATTTAATATTTGTCAGGAAAATATTGAGTTTTGCAGAAAAATGCAGTTAAGGGAGTGCAAGGTGAGGCGGACAGAATTCTGCCGCACGAAGAAGAGATTCAGCATTTGTGGAATATGCTGGCCCTCTTGAGATTTCCAAACTTGTCACATGCTTCAAAACACATCACCATTCCCAGTCTTTTATCTTCCACCCAGCCTTCTCATGCAATGGACTATTCATTAAGATAATTGAACAAAAATGCTGGTGAGGAAAATGAAACTGCAGCTGCGGTGAATTGGCAAACTTTTGCGCCAAATCAGAGCCAAACTTGGAAAATGTTGGAATGAAACCTTAGAAGGTTCCTCAAACCTGCACTACCAATCCAAACAGGATCCAATTAACAAATGAAGACCAACGCTGTCGCTTAAACATCTGCTTCAAACATCAGGTCCGAAAATACCAGTCCGTTTTTTTTTTGTTTTTTTTTAAATAAATGTCATGCTGCTAATTCACTAGCAAATATGCCAAGCCGCTTGACTTCGAAATGCGTCAATCAGACTAATGTCAGTGCCTCACAAACCGTGAACCTCACCACGCGTCACTCTTTGGTGTTACGATTTCAACATAGGCGTCGGCACTGCGGTTCCTGTGCAGGTGTCGGCGTGGATAGTCGGAATTTGCGGCAGAGGTGTTTGGGCCTGGGACTGATTTGCTGTTCCACATGGCTCACGGCTCAGGCCTTAACGCGCGCGTCCCCTCGTGTGTTTGTCTCCGCGGACAGGATGTGGCGACAGTCTCCAGGATAGCAGCGGCAATTTTTCCTCTCCGGGTTTCCCCAACGGCTACTCGGCCTACATGCACTGCATCTGGAGAATATCCGTCACGCCCGGAGAAAAGGTGAGCTGCCGGTAAAAGCCGAATCAGCGCCGCGGCGCTTTTCGACAAACAAACGCGGCTCTCGGTTCCATGTGCTGGCGTTGTCTCTCTTCCAAGGTTTTATCGCTGTGTGACCTTTGTCCCCGTCGAGTGTCAATAATCACCCCTCTCTTGGTTTTTAAAGATCATTCTGAACTTCACCTCCATGGATCTATACAGGAGCCACCTGTGCTGGTATGACCATGTGGAAATCCGCGATGGCTATTGGAGGAAGGCGCCGCTCCATGGTCAGTTTGATCCAAGCAAAAGGAGTTCATGACATGTTTGCCTTTCAGGAGACAAGACTTGTTGTTGATAATATATATATCGTCGTGTTTTGACGTGATTCTCCTCCCAACGAAATGTCTGTTGTCATTCGTTTGGTTTCGCATCACAAGCAAATTTCCCTCTGAGCACTTTCCATCTGGAATTTGAGGAGTTGACTTCCCGACGTGTCCCACGTGAGCATACGTTTTGGCAACTCAAGCGATATGGGTGTGGGGGGGTGGGGGGCCCTCGGGATGGTTTTGATTTGTTTCGACTCATATGGCTCACGAAGAGAGAAAGAAAGCCAGTGAGGCAAAGCAAAGTGACATTGCACTGTTTGTATATCGAAACATTGAGTGCAACGAGCAGCACGACGAGCGTGTTTTTGGAGGCATCATCCTGTAATTCTGCTCAAATTGTATGATACTTACAACCCCCCGAACCCCCCTGTGTTCCAGGGCGTTTTTGCGGCGACAAACTCCCCGAGCCAATCATCTCCACCGACAGCCGGCTCTGGATCGAGTTCCGCAGCAGCAGCAACTGGGTGGGAAAAGGTTTCTCCGCCGTTTATGAGGGTAAGCGCCCATTTTTCGGCACAGGGCGATATCGCTCAGCCGAATGAACTCGCACATCCGCCTCCAAGCTGCAGGAATCTCCTCCTTTTTTGGCAGCCGTGCTGCTGATGTGTCAGCCACTTTATGCTGCATTAATCAGATTTTGGCCGGCGCTCAGAATCGGCTCTATTGTTTCCAGGCCACGCAGAAGCCTGCGCGCGTGTTAGTCACTGTGTGTCTATGTGTGTGTGTGTGTGTGTGAGGCATTTCGGCTAATCCACATTGCGAAAATCCCAACAGTGCGCGCACGTTTTATTTTCTTAAGGCACGCGTTGATCATTTTGCGATCAAGCGAGTTTTTATTGTTTTCTCCCTGTCACGTGCAGCCATCTGTGGTGGGGAGGTGAAGAAGGACAGCGGCCAGATCCAGTCCCCCAACTACCCCGACGACTACCGGCCGAACAAGGCGTGCGTGTGGAAGGTTACCGTAGCTCAGGGCTACCACGTCGGCCTCACCTTCCAGTCCTTTGAAGTAAGGCCTCGAATCCAAGCGCGACGCACGCTTTTGGTTGACAGCCGGCCCAAAAGCGAACCTTCTGTCACGTAGATCGAGAGACATGACAGTTGCGCGTACGACTACCTGGAGGTGCGTGACGGGAACTCGGAGAACAGCCCCCTGCTGGGCCGCTTCTGCGGCTATGACAAACCGGATGACATCAAAACCAGCTCCAACCAGCTGTGGATGAAATTTGTTTCAGATGGCTCCGTCAACAAGGCCGGATTTGCAGCCAACTTTTTCAAAGGTCAGGGTTGAAAAGGTCGTGAACGCCGCGGGGGAATTTCTGCGTGTACGTCTGGAAGAAGTAATGTGTTTGGCATTAGCGCTCGAAATCGCAGGGGGATCCTTAAAGGTCAAACGCATTTTTTTTTCCCCCGTGATTGGAAATATTGGCAGTTAAAGGTTGCTATCGTGAAACCTTCCTGTTCCATTTCAGGCTTGAGTCCTTGAGACGTTTTTGTGTCCTTTTAACGATGCGCTTCCCAATTTGTGTTCAGTGGTGAAATCGGCATGGCGCTCCTGAGTGTCTTTTTCAGGAGCTGCGTTGAGGACGCCTCAAATAGATACAGTCCAAATATCCCCCCCAGGCCCTTCAGGTTCACACAATTTGTTGTGTTCTCGAGACTGACGAGTCCGCCGAAACGTTGACTCATTCAGCACACAAAATTATGACATTCATTTGCGCAAGAAACCACTCTTGAAATACTCTCAACTTGACTCAACCGCATGACAGCTGTGCCTCACGTTTCAATCTCCCCCCCCCCCCTCCTCGACATGAACTGTCGTGGAAGCATCGAAAGAAGCAAAACAGTGATGTAATGTAAAAAAAAATGTGATGAATGAAACCCTCTTCTTTTGAAACGTGGTGACAAATATTGCGGCTGCCCGGCGTCAAGGCACACCACCAAACAAAAAATACGGAAATGATGATCATGATGACGACGATGATGATGTGACAGTGGTTGGCTGTCTTGGAAGAGCATTTCATTGTTCTGACGGTCACTCTATGTTGCTTGCATAGATGCACGATTTTTCAATCCATTAAGTGAAATTGCGTAATTTAACCCAGAGGTGTCAAACGCATGGCCCGGGGGCCAGATCTGGCCCGCCACATCATTTTATGTGGCCCGTGAAAGCAAATCAAACATGTCAACTTCCGTGATTCTTGCTAAAATCTCGACCAAAATTTTAAATTCTCTGATGTAATAAATGAGAGCGATATTGTCAGCATTTTCTTGTTGCCAAACACCTCATTACAGTAACTGAAACAAGAGTTGAATTTATATAAGTGGTTGTTCTTGACTTCTTAAGATGATTTCAGTCATAATGACTCTCCAAGCGAAACGGTAACTAAAATGTGGCCCGTTACGAAAATGGATTTGACACCCCTGAGTAGACCAAACAATCTCTCATGACACATTGCGCCGCAGAACAGTAATTGGAAAACACTGAGCTAGCCACTTGGCAGCGAGCTAACTCGATTTCTAGATGTCAACTGAGTTTTCTTTTCTTTCTTTTTTTGCTTAAAGCAGAACCCCCCCAAAAATACAGATGGTTTTTGAGAGGCTGAAATGGATTCATAGAATTTCATTTGGGGAAAATCAAGTCAAGGTTTTGACATTTGCGGCGTTTGAGTTTGAAGGTCGCACCGTATGTGATTGCGCCACCGGGGTTGTGTGTGAACCTCGTTGTTTGGAGGATGTCTCGCACGGCGGCCATGGAAGCAAAGGGGGCCCAGCGAAAAGGCTCCCTAACGCACTTTTTTGTGTTTCAGAGATGGATGAGTGCTCCAAGCCGGACAACGGTCGCTGTGAGCAACGCTGTGTCAACACGCTGGGCAGCTACAAGTGTGCCTGTGACCCGGGCTACGAGCTGGCCGCTGACAAGCGCAGCTGTGAGGGTATGTCGGATGGTGTTTTTCTTCGCTCGGAACTAGCGCATTGTCACCTTTGCCACGCTGACAACCGTGACGACACGCAAGTAAACAATAAGACAGAACTAATAGCAATAATTTGGATTGAACGCTACACAGCATTTCCTTGGACTGGGCTGACACTTCTCTTGACGGGTTACATTTTTTCCTGATGGATATTTGCTCTTGGATCCCAGTCATGCCGTTTTATTTCATTTCTTGCCATGTGCAGCTGCCTGCGGAGGCTTCATCACGAAGCTGAACGGCTCCATCACCAGCCCCGGGTGGCCCAGGGAATACCCCCCCAACAAGAACTGCATCTGGCAGCTGGTCGCCCCAACGCAATACCGCATCACTCTGCTCTTTGACGTCTTCGAGACTGAGGGCAATGACGTGAGCACTGGGGTTCTTATGTATCGGCGCTGGGTGGGTTTGTTCTGTTTTCCTTTTTTGGTCACCACCGCCACGCGTCTCGCTGTGAAAGCCATGTATCACGTCAATGACCTCGCCGCCGAAAACGCCGCCGCCACTTCATCCGGCTTAGTGGTCGCAAAGGGATTTAAAGCGCAGTTCTTCTCCGGTGAGTTCATCGAGTTCGGAATTGATTTCAATTGATATCACATGCCATTAAGCAAAAGCAAAAAAAAAAACAAGAAAAATAAAGCCACTGCTTGTCTTTTGTCTCAATCAGTGTTCACTACCGCAGTGTCTGCAGACACCAGGTGGCTCCCTACAACCACGAGTGGCCTGCGGGCCTGTTCTAAAGATAGCTCACCAATCGTGATTTCCTAGGCCCATTATAGAAGCACATGTTCAAAAATGGAAACACTTAAAGAGATTTGTAGAAATGCACGTTGATATTTCTGCATCCTAATTATTTGTGACAAATCATGATCATTTTGTTAGGGTAGCCTATTCTAAAGATAGCTCACCAATCGTGATTTCCTAGGCCCATTATAGAAGCACATGTTCAAAAATGGAAACACTTAAAGAGATTTGTAGAAATGCACGTTGATATTTCTGCATCCTAATTATTTGTGACAAATCATGATCATTTTGTTTCTTCACATTCATAAATACAGACTGTTGAATTTCAAAAACTTTGAGCTAGCCTTGACAATCGCCAGAAGCTGAGCATAAAGAGATTTGTAGAAATGCACATTGATATTTCTGCATCCTAATTATTTGTGACAAATAATTCTGTTTCTTCACATGGATATCATTCGTTATTCATAAAAAACAGATTTCAAAACCTTTGAGCTAGCCTTGACAATCGCCAGAAGCTGAGCTGCTCAGTGTTTGTTTGCAGTCCAGGCATGTGGCCAGAGCCACAAGTCAATGACACATCTTGTCCTTTACACTCAAATGTCGTTTGTGGGGAAGTCCAATAATCATCCCATCATATTACATAATTGCAGCTGCATTTTGGTTATCATTTTTCTGGCAAGTAGAAAAATGGTCTCGCGTGTTCACGGGCCACACCCCATGATGTCGAGGGCTGTATTTGGCTAGCGAGCCTCGAGTTTGACACCCGTTGTCGCCCCCCGTGTGCGTCCTCAGACAAAGACGAGTGCTCCAAGGAGAACGGCGGCTGTCAGCACGAATGCGTCAACACCTTCGGAAGCTACAGCTGCCAGTGCAGGAGCGGCTTTGTGCTGCACGAGAACAAGCACGACTGCAAAGAGGGTAGCCTGACAAAATTCAGCATTGACTTCCTCTGCAAAGATTCTCACGCTGTTCTTTTTGGGGGGTGGGGCGGGGGTCATTGCAGCCGGCTGCGATCACACAGTGACCAGTGTGAGCGGTACCATCACCAGTCCCAACTGGCCAGATAAATATCCCAGCAAGAAGGCATGCACCTGGGCGCTCACCACCACGCCCGGCCACCGCATCAAAATAGTATGTGACACGTTCCTCACACATGCCCAAAAACATTGTTAGATGAAATGAAAATTTTCCGTAGTTGCGAATGTGATTGGTTGTTTTTGGTCCATGTGTGACCTGTGATCGGCTGGCGACCAGGACAACTCATTGGTACTCATTGGTTCCATGACCAAGCTTGTAATTTAGAACGCTCACATCTCAAATCATCTTTCCCCATTGAAATGAATGGAAAGGGCATGAATCCGTTACAGCATCCCCCCTCCCCCCCACAAATTGCATTTTCGTTTGTGTTTTTAATAAGGAAAAATAACAAACTGTGTCAAGTAAAATATCAACTAATAACATAACGCAGGTCAACGGCAAATTTTAAACAGGTGTTTTTTTCTGTGCCTCGTATTTTGACGCTGATTTTAAAAAAATGCTTACTTTTTTTTTTCCCTAGCACATCGGGTTTTTGAGAGATGTTCACTTTTTGTTTTTCAGTGTGGCCTGTAAAAGCTTGCAGACAAATGTCAAGACTTAAACGTCATCTCATGCATCGTGAATTAATGCCGCAATTCAAATCATTGTGATGCTCTTTCTGGTGTGCTCGCCTTGGCCACTGGGTGGCGGGATAATACTGTTGTGCACTTCCAGGAAGTGAGACTCTGTAGCATGCTGTAACATTGGTCGTTTTTACCGGAAGATAAAGAATGTATGCCTACGAGTATTGTTTTTACATTTTTCGTATTATGAAAAACATGCAGGTCGGGTCCCTTGTACAAGTACGCCTTGATAAAGGCGACATTTTGGATCCGCCTTTTGTGTTGCACGTGTACCTAATGAAGTGGCCCGCCACCGTCTCAAGAAGAAGCGCGCGAATGTAACGTTGACCAGTCCTCTTCCCGTCGTAGGCTTTCAACGAGATCGACATGGAGGCTCATCTGGAGTGCGCCTACGACCACATCGAAATCTACGACGGCAAAGACGGCAAAGCCCAAACTCTCGGTCGCTTCTGCGGCACAAAGAAGCCGCAGCCCATCACGTCCAGCGGCAATAAACTCTTCATCCGCTTTTTCTCCGACAACTCTGTGCAGAAGAAAGGCTTTGAGGCGTCCCACAGCGCAGGTCCGCATCGTCGTACCGTCACACAATTCTTAACACGTCACGTCAAAGCTTACTTTCGTACTTGAAAAACTCGCAAGTTGGGGCACCTGTAAGTCAAGGTAGCACTGTACTCGACATTTGTCTGGGAACGAGACTTAACTCCTCTTCGCGAAACAGAAAAGTTGAACTCTCGACTTTTTCCATGCGCAGAGTGCGGCGGTCGCCTGAAGGCCGAGGTCAAGACCAAGGACCTGTTCTCCCACGCCCAGTTCGGGGACAACAACTACCCCGGAGCCTCCGACTGCCAGTGGGTCATCTCGGCCGAGAAAGGTTACGGCGTGGAGCTCATCTTCCAGACCTTCGAGATCGAGGAGGAGGCAGACTGCGGCTACGACTACATGGAGCTCTTTGACGGGGCTGACACCAAGTCTCCGCGGCTGGGACGCTACTGTGGCTCGGGGGTAAGCGGAACAATTCTTGTCGACCTCGTTGTTGGATAGTGAATTTAAAAAGTCTCCACATCACTCTTGAAATGTCAGGTTTTTGTCATCACCTCCCAGAACCTATACAGCTCAATTAGAACAAAAAAAGTCTACATTTTAGGTTCACCCCACCCCAATTCACTGTGTTTTTTGCATTGTGTCTGTACCAACCCCTTGCCCAGCCTCCCGAGGAGATCTACTCAGCCGGCGACTCCATCGTGATCAAGTTCCGCTCGGATGACACCATCAACAAGAAAGGATTCCACTTGCGCTACACCAGCACCAAGTTCCAGGACACGTTGCACTCGCGCAAGTGACGAGTGGGGGCCGCAAGGGGCCGCGCGGGGCAGAGGGCCACCCGGAGGGGCCCCAAAGGGAGGCTCCCGCCAACCGCTCGGAAACCTTCGGCCACCAACGCCAATCAGACGCCGCAGAACAGCCGCAAGTCCGCCACCAAGCGCACCTCAGCTCCCAGGGGCTCCAGCTCCCCCCGCAGACTGTGAGGAGTAAAGCCATTCTCCAATACACCTTTTGACCTTTTTACGCTTAGGATTGGGCTTTGGCGGACAGCGGCGCTGGAAGGGGGGAGTTTATTGACCTGACCTCCCCCCTCCCATTCTGGTTCACTCTGATTTTTTTTTTTTTTTTTTAGTTTTTTTTTTTTTTTTCTTTTGAAAGGTGCCTCCCAACATACGGCACAACACAAGGAAACCAGTGGATTCTCAGGACCTGTAGGAAAAGGCAGGCATCAGCAGGATCGACCCCTGCTCTTGTCAACGCCGCACCAGATCAGCATCATCATTCTCATCACGAAGGACTTGAGCGGAGATGTGGGCCATGTCGTGGGAGAGGAAGAAAGTGTACACGGGGGACAACAGCGGCTTGATGTGTAACGGGCGGGCGCCGCGACGGCCACATTCTCACTGTTAGCATTAACCAAGGAACATAAGGAAGCAGTTTTCTTATTAAAGGACTAATCAATGAAATGTGGTCCATGGTCTTCTGGTTGGTCATTACTGTACCTCCATCATTTGTAAAGTGTGTGTATGTGTGTGTGTGTTTGTGCGCGCGTGTGCTTGCGATCTTTCCAAGGGAACAGGTGCTTTTTTTTTTTTGTTTTTGTCAACTCAAACTAGCGAGCACTTTACATTGAATTGTTCCAAAATCATTGAGCGTCTATGGATTTTTGTGAAATGCAATGCCGGTTCACTTATTTTAAAAAATGAATTTTATCTCTCTTCAAAATTGTTTCCCACCCCCCCACACCCCCACCAGTTGCTCCATTTTAGTTCCTCAGGCATACTTGAACATTGTGTGTGCCCTGTGACGTGGGGTAATAAAGATATGACTTATGTGTCCGTGTTTTTACAATTTTCCAGGTGAAAAAAAAAATGTCTTCTCTTTTTTTTCTTGCTCCAATGAAGTATTTCTCAAGAACCAAATGAGCCTGCCTATTTATTGTAGTCGTTTCGTAAATAATGTAAACGGTGAATCCATACCATAAGCCCGAGAACTGCCGCCATCTCATGTGTAGCCTTTGGGCTATGTTGAATCACATGCTGGTGCTCAAAGCGCTCTCTTCTGCATTTAAATTGGATTACTGTTTTACGAGGGCGTCCCATTATTTTGAAGATGGTAGAAAAGTTTCTATTACAAATATAAAATCATAAATGACAAGTCTTATTTGTCACCAGGCTCCATCCAGTGATGTCATCCAAAAAAAAGCAGAGGCCATCCAGCACCACCCTTTTTCGGCAGTGTTACATAACAACACACAAAAATGAACGTTTTTAAACAAATAAATGATACAAGTGTGAAGAGAAGGGTCTGGAAAGGGGCACATGCAATCCCCCTGCCCCCATGTGTGAGAAAATCTCGAAAGATGTGACAGCAGGAGACGAAAACATTTCAACCGCACTTATGAACTTTTCTGGGAGGGGCGTCTCGTGGGCATAATTTTAATCCAGTAAAGCGAAAGGACATCATGACCACGACATGTTGCGAGAAGCCACATTCAGTTCAGAGTAAACACAAAGATGGCAGAAGACACACCATGCCAGCATCATCTTATGGACATTTGAAGACATCGCACAGAGGCCAATGTGGTTATTGATGATCCATTTCATGCACAAAAGACTTCTAATTCACTTATAAATACGATCAAAAGCTTTAATAAATAGCAGGGAAAAAAAAGATAACATTCCAAACTGTATTCTACATATATTACATCCATACAAGTTAATGTCATCTGATCTAATAATGGATGCATTGAGCTGCACTGACGTAAGGTACGGTAAGCTCCTGTAGAAATTAAAACATCAAATTTACGGTGCAAAGAGCTGCAGTGAATGGTGCTCCTATTTTCATTAAATGAATGATGTAATTCATTGCAATGGCCTGCTGCCATTTGAATTTCAATGTATGGTGCAATGACTTTCAGTGGTATAAGGTTCCAATTACATTAACTTGAATTCAATTTTTAATTGAATGACATTTAATGTCCAGCAACGAAATACAGCGACAAGTTATTGTTCCAATTATGTAATTTAACAAAAAAAGATTGCAACATCTGATAAAGCAGCGTAACCAATCCAAAATAACAGGTCCGTTCATAACGAGGAGAAATGAATCTTTTGTTGCCATGACAACCCTTACATTGCCAAACAGAACAGAAACATGTCTCCCTTTTCTGGATTTGCACCAACAACTACAATGGGTTCCTCTTCCATAACATTTGGTAGAAACTGGCGAAGGAAAAGTTGATCGAAAAAAAAATATTGATATTGTTCCACAAATGAGCTTTTTTTTGGGGCAGGGGCTGTACTTAAATCTGACATCTTGAACATTCACCGTGAGTGCAAACGAGTGTTCGTATGAGGAGAAGTCCTCTGTGACAGTGGTTCTCAAACTTTTGATACAAAGTAGCACTTAAAAATAAAGACATAACTGCTCTCCAGGTACCAACATCATAAAATACAGTAGCCTAGTAGGTCTAAGTGTTTGTCAAAAACAAGGCAAGGATTTCATCCCGAAAAAGTACATTTAACATTATGAAAAGCCATAGTCACATAAAGCATTTAGAAAACAAACACTGACTTCAATAACGACAAAAAAGAAAACTAAATGAGTCATTAAAATGTATGGCACATAAAAGTTCAATCAAACATGTACAGTATGTGAATGAACAAGTAAAGATTAAATCTGAAAATTAAATCCGACTCATCGGTACTTGAGCAGTGCTTCTCTCTGAGACTCATTCCTCGATGACATCATCACGTTTGCACGCCGTCAGCCAGCCAGGCCGCCGGCAACCCCGCGCGGCCCAACGCCCACCACAGGGCCCCGCCGGCGCTCA